CATCTCCACGCCTCTTTCGACGTTACACGATCGGCGATCGCGACGTAGCGACAGACTCGCCGTTATAACCCCCAACACTAGTTTTTGAGAAATTTTATTTAAACGATAATAAATTATCTAATGCAAGGGATTTCCGTAATCCGGAAATTTCACTTGAAGTCATTGTATGCGCACCTGCACAAGTGCCGTAAGGGTGCCGCACGAGTAGTGCATAAAGAACACTCCTTCTGCGGCCGAAAATAATTTCAATATGCTTATATATACTAGTTCAGTGGATCTTTAAATCAAAAATAATATGTACACATGCCAAGAATGAGTGTTATTCGATGGTCTAATTTGAAGTTTAATAATATTTCATATGCTATAACATGGAATATTGTTCGATAGAACTGATTATTCTTTATCGATCGCATCTTATTATCACTTAAAAAACCATAATCATGTTAAGGTAATTTGGTTGTAAATTCTCCGTTAAAAAAATCGAAAGAAATGGATTGGGAATAAATGAAACGCCAATCTGGTACCCTATTAATATTTTCAATAATTACAGTATATATAAATATGGTAAGTTCAAAAGGATAAATATTTTTTTGTTCATTGTAACGTATCTTAAAAAATTTTGAACAATGTGCTGCAGGCATTTTACCCTTTCACAATACAGTATTATACTATGTGGACAGACTATTGTAATATGTAAATAGTTTAACGTAATTAAATACAATATTATAGAAGCTTTTTTACCTTCGAAATCTTAATTGGCTAATCAAAGAAGGAAAGAGTTCGTAGGTTTTGGAAAAAATTTTGCGACGGATATTTCCCAAAATTTCTTAATAAACTTTTAGAATTACTCCCTACATTGCATATGACGTGATATGCTATTCTATACCGAAGTTTCTTATAGAAAATGGCTAATGTTAGATAAATATTTAAACTACTGAAATTTTGATTTCTCTTTTCTTAAAAACATCAGGTTTTTATAATATAAGATCGATAAAATATGCCCGAAAAATGTTCTGAATGTAATAAAAAAAGACGTCTTAAATATGGAAACGGAAACATATGTACTAATTGTTATTCCGCACGATTTCAATCTGTTAATAGTGGAAATCTAAATATTGATAATTTAATTAAATCAACACATGGAAATAACCCTAAAAATAGGCTAGAGTGGATTCCCTTTGAAGAATTTGCAGATATCCAGCAAGTTACAGAAGGTGGATTTAGTACAATATTTACGGCTTTATGGGTAAAAGGAAGAATCACAGGTTATTCTGAAGTAGGATTTGATCGAGCAGGTTCAGAAAAAATTGTATTAAAATTTCTTAAGGACTCTCAAAATATTAATTCGGTATTTATAAAGGAGGTAAAGTAGAAGTTTTTTACTTAACATAGTACTTATAATTATATTAAATATTTTTATTTATTTGCCTTTACAGTTAAATAATATTGCTCTAACTCAACCTAACTCTAATCGTTATATTATTCAATCTTATGGAGTATCACAAGATCCAAATACAAAAAATTATATATTCGTTATGCCTTATATTGAACATGGAAGTTTACGCGAATATTTGTTTAAGCATTTTGATGATGTTAAATGGATGGACTGGGGAAAAAGTAAAGGGTCAAAAGTAAATTTCCTGAAAAGTCTCGTTATGGGCATTAAATGGATTCATCAAAAAAATATTATACATCGTGACTTACATAGTGGAAATATATTAGTGCATCAAAAAAATATACTTCGTGGAAATAAGTTGGTGGATCAAGAGAATTATTCATTAATTACTGATTTGGGACTTAGTCGACCTGCGGATAAAGATCCAGGAACAGGTGCATATGGAATAATATCATATGTCGCACCTGAGATATTTGACGGAAAACCATATTCCTTTAGTTCCGATATATATAGTTTAGGCATGATTATGTGGGAACTCACAACAGGGAAGCGTCCCTTTTATGATCGAGAGCAAGATGCTAATCTTGCTTTCGATATATGTCGCGGACTACGTCCTGAAATTACTGAAGATACACCGGAATTATGGGCTAGATTAATGGAAAAGTGCTGGCATCCAGATCCCTTACAGAGACCAACAATTAACGAGATATACGAAGTAATAAATTCACCAGAATGGGAATTTGGTGGTGTATTTTATGATGCAGAAAAAAAATTACAAGAAATAAAACCCAGGAAGTTTGCAAATGAGCTAGAAATAACGACTACTCCCTGTACACCTTTTAGTCAATCATTAGATTACATTATAAATTCTATAAGAGATAGTTTAAGTGCAGAATCGTTATTAGGTAATCATGAATTTTTTATAAAGAAAAAAATTAACTATTAATTTAACTTAATATATCCCTTATCTTTTATAGAATCTTATTCTAAATGTTCTCTTGATATTATGAAAGATTCGTAAGTAAACGTTTTACATTAACTATCAAAATAATATAAATTATCTAATCTAATACATTATTTAGTACCGAGTTTGTCAGAAGCACCGATAGTTTATACTATAGTAAAAATTCGCTAACCTCTTTAAAGCACTCTATAAATTTTTTGCTAAATGAAAAAACCGGTAAGTTCTTAACTTTTGTTAAATAATTATTTATTATTAAACTTATATATATTATCTATAATAGGTCCAATAAAACGGAGAAAATTAACTAATTATAACGAAGCTATCGTACATGAAGGTAAAGTATGTTTTTTACATCAATATTAGTTTATTACCTAATTAACTTAAACTAATAATACGCTTATTACATTAGCTAATAAACCGGCTTCACACTTACCAAATCCAAGCAATATCGAGCTAATCCACAATACAGAAGTGCCAACAAACTATCTGTGCGGAGATTTTTATTATGTAAATATAACCGATTCAAATATGAGTATTGAAGGTCTACATAATAATGCCTTCAAAGGATTGGCCTTAGCTTTATGTAGAAATACCACCCTGACGGGGTTGAGTGTGAAAAAAAGCAAATTAGGTTATGTAGCAGGAAAAGCATTTGGATATGCTCTATGTAAGAATACCACCCTGACTAATTTAGATATTGGTTGGAATGAATTAGAATTGGGTGAATTGGGTGGAAAAACACTAGCCGAGGCACTATGCAAGAATACCACCCTGAAAAAGTTGAACTTAAAACATAATAGAATAGGAGAATCGGGAGGAAAAGCACTAGCCGAGGCACTATGCAAGAATACCACCCTGACAAACTTGGGCTTGGGATCTAATAATTTAGGAGAATCGGGCATCAAAGCACTAGCCGAGGCGCTATGTAAGAATTCAACCCTGACCGTTTTAGATATATCTGGGAACAAAATAAGAGAATCGGGAGGAAAAGCACTAGCTGAGGCACTATGCAAGAATACAACCCTGACCAATTTAGATATTAGTTCGAACAATTTAGGAGACTCTGGAGAAAAAGCACTAGCCGATGCACTATGCAAGAATACCACCCTGAAAAAGTTGAACTTAAAACATAATAGAATAGGAGAATCGGGAGGAAAAGCACTAGCCGCGGCACTATGCAAGAATACCACCCTGACCAATTTAAATTTATATGATAATAGAATAGGAGAATCGGGAGGAAAAGCACTAGCCGAGGTACTATGCAAGAATACCACCCTGACCAATTTAAATTTATATGATAATAATTTAGGAGAATCGGGAGGAAAAGCACTAGCCGAGGCACTATGCAAGAATACCACCCTGACCAATTTAGATATAGGTTGGAATAATTTAGGAGAATCGGGAGGAAAAGCACTAGCCGAGGCACTATGCAAGAATACCACTCTGACCGATTTATATATTAGGATTAATAATTTAGGAGAATCGGGAGGAAAAGCACTAGCCGAGGCACTATGCAAGAATACCACCCTGATCAATTTAAATTTATATAATAATAATTTAGGAGATTCGGGAGGAAAAGCACTAGCCGAGGCACTATGCAAGAATACCACCTTGACCAATTTAAATTTATATAATAATAATTTAGGAGAATCGGGAAGAAAAGCACTAGCCGAGGCACTATGCAAGAATATCAGTCTGAATATTGATTATTAATAATTTATAGGAAAGTAATAGAGGTATACTTTTTAGAAGAATCATACTAGAAATAATGCCATGAAAACGAGTTTGTTTTGTATAAAATGCGCAATTGCAGTAAATAGTGAATGATATAACATTAATACAAATGTTCAAAGGGAAAGTACTTGATAAAAGATATAATTTTATTAACTTAGTAGAGTATACTTTATATACATACTGTATATAGACATGCAGTATAGAGAATCAAACTATTTTTTATTATTCTAGCATTTTATTTCTAAATAAATCATACATATTTTTGTGGGTCACGGCACCGGGAATGAGAAAGAGGTGGAAAATCTAGTAAATTTACATAAGTAATGTGAGACGAAAAGGGGGAAACTGGTATTGAGAATAGTTAGACAAGAGAAATCGTTGTTGTCTTCAATAAAATTTAAACAACGTTTAAACCCTAAACAAACTCTTACCGCGTTTCAGAGTTTTTAGAAGGTAGTCAAGAGTGAGTTATCAAGTATCTTATGTTGGTCAGATAAAAACCACCTCAACAGTTAAAGAGTCTTATAATTCTTACCTTGATTGTATGTAACGCCAGTTACGACGATGAATACATAAAAACTTAAATATGTGATGGAAATTATTTGAAACTTAATGTTACTGTTAAATAAATAAATTTATTTATTTTGGGAATCCTTGATTTTATTATTGAATATTGTGAATGAGTATAAAAAATGGATTTTTCGCTACAAAATGAGTTTACTAGTTCGCTTTATAAAATCGATCGAAAAATATTTTTTTATTGTAAATTTATAAATTAAAATCAACCTTGAGTTTTGAAGAAATTTCATGATTTTAAATTATTGAAACAATAAAAATATCATTAAAGTTAAATGAAAAAATTCCGTAATAATATAACCATGAATCGTTTCATCAAATGGAACCATTTTATTAAAATTAAAGTAGCCTCTGTTAAATCGAAAACAAAAATGCTTTCAACGGGGTAAAATGATTTATTAGTCAAACCTATTTTAAAGTATATGTTTAAAGCATACGTACAGCTGGCGGATTTCCAATTTCATTAGAAATAATCATAAGATTCTTGAACTGCCAGCAAATCGTCCATGATTCTGTCTATAGTTGTTCCAATTTGTTTGGTCATTTCTCGTTGGCGATGCAAAGCCAAGTTCGGGAATTGGATCAATAAATCTCCATCCAATATTCCTTTGGCTGGGTTAGTGGCTAATCGTTGTTTCGATTGTAAAAGCCTATTTGTATTTTCATGAAGATTTAGGTCGAAATATGAAGAGGGAATTCAAGAAAGAATGATTCCACAAATACCTGAAAGATTTTGGATTAAGGCCTGCTGGGTGTTGAAGTCCATTCACCATTTGAGCGTGCAATAATTGCATACGTTTATACATTTTTTCCGGTATTGGGGTAATTATTCCGATACTTCCGTCAAGAGTTCCTGAGCATACATCAATTTTAATAATGAAATTTGTTTTTCATATCGATGACATACAGATTATAGTAAAAATATTACCGCATAAGCATAGCTGTTTATACCCGTTATTCTCTTCTTCCATCCACCTCGGCTGGACACCTTGGTCGAAGGAAACATCTCTTCTTACCAACTCCTTTTTTGGCAATGACAGAATTGTTTTAACTTGCGCACCAACGTGAAAATCTCCACGACGAATAAGTTTTTGACCAGCAAATGATTGTACATCTGTTAAGGGAAAAGTCAAACTTTTTCAATACACTGTTATTTAAAGGTTAATTTAAGTTAAAGAGGACTCACTGTATGGCGCATATTGAAACAAATGAAGATTTTTATCCATGTCGGCTACGACAAAATATAGCACGGGTTCATCGATTATAAAATTTGTACAAGATACTTCCAAAGCGTGGTAGTCTTTTCCTACCAAAACCAGCTTTGCAGGTTCTTCCTTTGTAACGCATAACGATGTGTTAAAATCGAAAGTCCATTTTACACTTGAAAGTTAATCACTCACCTGAAAACCGAGGAACCACACACTTTTATAAACGTCACCCAAAAGAATATAATCCTTAATTGACACAGCACTGTTGGCGTAAATTTGGATGTCGATAAAGGCTACGCTAATAAGTCGATCATTATCTTCAAAAGCTCGGATAAATATCTAAATTATTAATTAATAGAGATTATCAAATAAGAGGGAAAATTTTTTTTGAAATTCCAAATTATTTTTACCTTTGGGCCAACGCACGTCAACAAGTACCCGTTAACGTCACATATGGCCGTTACAGAACCTTTCACCTCCTCGTGGCACAATAACTTATATTTATGATTTGTTTGTGGATTATCAGGTTCGGGTACAACTTCAATGATCTCAAATACATATACCTTAATGGATGGAGGTGACAAAGCCCAATAATAAATAAAATAAAAAAGCGCACGGCCCACAACAGAAGCATAACATCAATCCAAAATTTAATTACATTTCCTCTCATCCCTACATCCTCTCCTCGGAAGAATCCTGTACCAATTGCGATAAAAGATTTTCGACCGCTTGACGTAGATTTTGTCTGGAGGCTGACACATTTTATACATAATCCCTGCTCGTCATCTTGAAGCTCATGTCTAAATTATTTTATTGGTGAATTAGACAACAAACGAGAGTAATAGATAAGAGATGACGAGGTCACGACTGAAAGAACCTGTCTACAGTCTCCCAGGTGACCGGAGATATCAACTCAAGTGTAAATCTCAATGTTTCCGGTAAAAATTGTGCGCTGTCTGCATGGTAAAAATTATTAGAGAGAATTTTTGATCAATAGGAAGCATTGCTCAATTGGTTACCTCGTTCTATTTCAATGGATTCACCATTTTCATCTTTTAATAGGAATTCGACGGGAGACGATGAAAGTAATGCGTACACCTGCATTTCCGGATGATACTCAATTCCATGAACGGACCGATGTAACATGATTTTTCGCACAGGCCATTCCATATCATATTTAAAATTCTTTGGCAATTCTGATAACCTACAGACATCCTTTAAATAATAAATTAATGATTGAAAATCTTCTCTATTCGAATTAAAAACCTATCATGGGTGATACAAGGTTACCTCGTTGTTTGCATACAAAAAACCATGCAAGCAATGTACGTTATGAAATTGCGTGAAGCTTTTGATTTCGTTATCCACACTCATTGGATGGACCCGCAAATAATTATTATGTGCACAAATTAACCAAAGCGGCCTAACACCCGTCACAAATACTCCAGTATATCCGGAAATATTGGTAAAGGGTATTAGTCGTTTTTTCGTTTGTCTAAGTGAGATCTTAAGCTTCTCGAAGTCATTGTCAAATTGGTTTGTTTCTTCTTCATTTGTTTCTTGCTGAGTTGACTTTCTTGACACAGGTTTGTCATGGATATCACTGTATATGGTTTCACGCGAAATGTATTCGTGAGGAACACGCGAAAATCGCACGGCGAGTCGGTCAACCAATTCACCTTGCGTTTGAGACTTTTGAAAAGGATCCGTAGGGTCGGTTCCAGGGACGTATCGGAAGGCCTTGTATATTATTATATCACCCACATTACTCCGCGCCTACCCATTGGAAAATCAATAGATATATAAATATTGCACATTTTGAAATGCGATCACTCAGACACTCAGAGAAGATGCAATATTTACGATTAAATATGGATATTTGCTGCGATGACCTATGTTTATCAATAAAATCTCTTGAATTTCCACCGTTTGCCCAGAAGATTTCACATTTTGTCGAGTATTAAAATCCGCAAGAACAGCCGGAGATAAATCGAAATGGGGAAAATTAAAGACTTCCTCAAATTCCGGAAGTTTATAAATCTACGAGAAATTCAAAATGTAAATTAACTGCCATTAAATGTTCGACATCTGAAACAAGAAGATTAACCTCCAATGAACCATCCTGCCGATACAGTGCGCACCAATATTTTTCTTTCCTCGAATTCTTCACGTCCATTAAATGAAGATCATCCACCATTGCAACGTTCGGTGATAGATTATCATCTATATCCATTCTATTCTCTTCGACAACATTTTGGGATGTTCCTTCTGCGCTAGCATAAAGGTCATCCAACTCATCATCATCATCTAATTTGTCTGTGTTTTCACTTTTGACATGGTCTCCGACGTTCTCGAGGGATGAGACGTCCACAAGGTCCTTCACAAGAGCAAAAAGATTTGTATCATCTCGGTAAATGCAACATGATATGGTCGGAGCCTCCTATTGGAAAATTGATTAAAAAAAGGACGCAATTTTTGACAAACTAAAAGAAGTCATACATTGATTTGCGTAGGTAGTGAGTGAAAATCAAGGCTTCTTGAATTATCATCGATTTTCATCAAATTGACGTTTCCATCATCCAATAACAACAGCACATACGGATCAATGATACTTGCAAATACGATCAGACCATCATTTTCTATTAATTGTGTAAGTTTTCCGTCTAATAGTTTCGGAAGAAAAATTCACGTGATTAAAAAAAAAATCTTTTTAACGTAATATATAGCAAAAAAGCGGAGAAAACCTTGATCAAAAAGTCGAACGCCGTGAGCATAAACTTGGAGTATACGAATTCCACTTAACAATTTTCCGACAGCCACGGTTGAACCGTCCGTGTAAAAATCAGAATGTTCAAGCTCTTGCAATTCTTCTCCGCAAGCAAGAACCTAGGAAATATGGATAGAGTTAATCTCAAATTCACAGAAACCAACCGAACAAACTATTTCATTCTCACCATTGTGCTGTGTTTCTTTGAAATAAATAAAAATTTATCAAATTCCTCCACACTCCCATTAATGTTATCATCTGTCATTCCAGTGACATCGATATTGATGCTTTGATACAAAGGATTTCGGCAAGAAACCGTCCACATATTTACACAGTCGCTCATAGAAAAAGAATTGAATACTGTAGGGTTTATGTTGCGCTAATAAAACGTAGAGTATTAATATCCCAGAATAATGTTAGATAACTCCATTGATCTCATTGCAAGTTAAATCTTATTACATGAAATATGCATAAGGATGAAGCTTGACCATGTCCAGAGCACGAAACTAATTCAAGATTTTTGTGTACGCTATGTAAATGCGCCTCTTCCTATTATGATAATCAAAAATAAATTAGCGTAATGTATTTTATCTACTCGAAATTTATTCATCCACCTCTGAGAACGTCAATTCTCCAAAAGCCATGTCCACAATTGGTCCGATATTAGTAAGAGTGTCGCATATAACA